CCGAGATAATCGCCGGGATGTGGACGCGCGCCCGGGGCCCGGAACGCACCGCGCGACTGGCTCGGCCCAGGGGGAGATAGTGTGCCCCCCCCCCCACCCCCCCGGAAGTGTCCATAAGAAAGGTCTGGGCGGGGCGGGGCGGGGCAAGCAGTCCGCCCCTGTACTGTGTCTAGCAGCGCCGATCGCCAGCTCGGCCGGATGCACCGATCCTCGGGACCATACCCCTGCCCAACCTTCCCCCCGGGGTGGGGGGCCGGGCCGGGCCGGGCCGGGCCGGGCCGGGCCGGGCCGGGCGCGCCGATATCTTTCCGGTCCAGTGTGATACCCCCGACGGCGGGCGCCTGGTACCCGCCAACTGCGTGGTGGTCCCTGCGCATGCGCGCTCCCCTGGGGCCCGGGCCTCGAGCCTGCTGCACTCCACCGTGCCGCAGCCCCAGCCACCCGGCCCCGCGCAAGGAACAGCGGGGGGGAAATGGACGCGGGGCCATGAATGGCCCCGGCCCCCGGGCTGGGAATTTATCCACCCCACACATTCCATTCTCGCCAGGGCTCGAGCCCGGAGAGGCGCGCCTTGGTGCGCGGGCAGATCCCCGTGTCCCCCCCTCCCCCGGGCGGTCCGGCCCAGGGAAAAGAACCCGTCCCCCCTGCCCCCGCCGTGGTCAGGGCCTTTCCGCGCTCGAGGCAGGGCCCGGCATCTGGGGGCCCCGGCGGGGCTGGCAAGCAAACGAGAGAGGGGCCCACGCCCGCTACCATCCAAGTGCCAACCCATCCTGCATGTGATCCTGCCACACGTGCGCTCTCGGGCTTTACCCACAACACGGGCGGCATACCCGAGGGCCCGGGCGCCGAGGACAGATCGTCCCCCGGTGGCAGGTGCGTGAGAGTGTCGGGCGCAAGTCCGTGTCGAAGCCACAGGGAGAGCGGCATCGGGGGGGGGGGGGGGGGGGGGGGGGGGGGGGGGGGGGGGGGGGGGGGGGGGGGGGGGGGGGGGAGACGCTCGGAACTTGTCGGCATTCGGCCTGCCCACTTTCAAGGGGGATGTGTGCGCTCGCGCGTGGGTGTGCTCGTGTGTTAACCTGCACACGACCATCTTGTTGCACCGGGCGGAAGGGCAGGCGCGAATGGAGCAGGAGGCAGCGCCCAGACCCGCCTCGGGCCTCGGGGCTCCTCAACGACTTTCCTCCGATTCCTCGTCCGTGCACCTCTCCAGACCTTCCTTGCCCTGACCTGGCCTTTGGCACCGCGCACTTTCCTCCTCGCCAACACCACGACCATTTCCGACCCCGAGGGACCCCCGGCATGAAGAAGTCCCGGCAGCCCGGCGGGGTTCTCCCGTTGCATGCGGCTCCCGGGGGTCTGACGCCCGACCGCTCAAGATCCACCCGCGGCCGACTGGCGCGCCTCCTGCTCTTGGCGGTCATGGTCTTGATACTCTGGGCCAACCTGCCGGCCATTTCGCTGCCTCCAATGAACCTTCGATCCAGGTGCGAATGCCATGTTTGCCCAGCGCCATCGTCCGCCCGGTCACTAAACTACCCGTCACCGTGGCTCCGCGTCCCGGACGCCTGCTGGGCAGACTCGGTGGGCAAGAGCCCGGCGCACAATCTGGTGGCACTCACAGTGGCGCCCACCATTTGACAGTCTTCACCTTGCTGAAGGTGCGCCCTGCGGCGCACGGGGGGCGGGGGAGGGGGGGCATAGGCCGGGAGGTCGGCAGTATGCCGCGGGGAGAAGGCTTGCTCACACATGCCACCGGGCACCGGGCCCGGCCATGGCTGGCCCATCTTGCCGCCCACTTGCAGGACATCCACGATACAGTGGAGACAACGTGCCTCGACGAGCCGCTCGGGTCGGGTCGGCGGCGGCGGTGCCGTCGCCTCCCCCCGACCAGGGGGTTTCAATGTCGGCGCGACAACTTTGAAACTTGGATCCGGTGTCTGAGCACATACAACGCAGTGAGCAGGTGCGCGCCCGGAGTGCATCTAACCCATCGAAGAGGAGGATAGTGTCTCCGGGCTGCATGTCGCCCTGCCGCTCTCCCCTCCTCCCGCCCGCCTCGCCCCCGCCTGTGTCTTCTTTCCCCGCGCAAGGAACTGACCATGTGAAGGGCAACAGCCTCCTTGCCATGGGGCCCGACACCCGACTTCTGATATACGGGAGCCGACGCTCGTGCGACACCCTGATGGCTGATGTGCTGCTCCCGGCCCTGACCCCGGCCCGGGACTACACCGTGGAGGATGCTCCGGCTCGGTGGCGCCGCGCCCCTCGTCAGACGCCTCCGGCCTATTGGTGGCGGCTGACCCGCCGGGACGGATATTCCCCGCGGGACGAATGGGATGAGGACCTCGCGCAGGGGCACACGGATTCGACGGCCGGCCCTGGCCCGCGCTCACTTCGATCCTTGAAGGGCATGGCCCCGGTCGAGGAGGCGGGTGCCGCCGCCGCCGCCGCCGCCGCGAGCCCCCTGACCATTGGCTTGGTCGAGTGCCGGCCCATCCCGTGTGAGGGGCATCTGGCGGCGCCGCGTTTGGATTGTCTGTTCGCCGATGCCTCGGCCGCGGCCACCAGCCCCGGTGGCCAACCCACGGCGCTTTACCTGTTCGCCAATGGAGACATCGGCTTCACACAATCCGGCCGTGCGGTCGGGCGCATTGCCCGGTGGGTGGCTCGGCGCCTGCCCGGGCGCGCGTTCTTCGGGGTGCGTCGCAAGGGGGCCTTCTGGTATTTTGCCCCCTTTCCCCGGGGCCCGGAGGAAGGGACACATGCGGCCTCCGGGGGGCCGGGCTGCCGGGTTGCCCGCCGCAAGCACTGACCATTCCCCGGCTCCAGGTGGGGCAGCGCGTGAACTTGGACCTGCCCCACTTGTTGGATGGCATGCCATCTGCCGGGCCAGGCCGCGACCGGGACACCTGCTCAGCCGGCAGCCCGGGCGAGCTTCTGCACCCGGCGCAGTGCGCCCTGCGGGGACTGGTTGCCAGCAGCCGGGCGGCCCTGCATGGCGACTCGGCCATCGACTACTTCTTGGCATCGCATCCGGTGGTACGCATGCCGGCATGCCCTGCCCGGGGCTGCCCCCATCACCCGGCACCCGGGCGACCCTTGCCCGGTCACACCTCCCTTCCTTGGAATTGCCCGCCCTGGGGAATGCCCCCGCGTCCACTAACCCAAGCTGTGGCGCCGCGGTCCGAGCAGATGGAAAAGATCGCCCAAGTTATGCCACCCTTCGTGGCCGGGCGCGTTCGATGGGACACCTGGCTACTGGCCTGGGCCGGGCGCCTGGCTGTCCGGGCGTCCGGGCCGGACGCCGAGCCGGTCCCAGTGGTCACTGTCGACCTGACGGCCGCCCTGAATGCGGTGCACTTCTCGCACGGGGTGCGCGGGGAATCGACCCGGCGGTATGTCGATCCGGCCCAGGGGGGAGGGAGAGCTGCCTGCCCCGTGCAGCCATGCCGCTGAGGGCCTCGCCCCGAAGGAGGGATTGCCGACTGACAGGAAGCCCATGCGAACACCAGCGAGGGGAATGACTTCAACCTGGCCCTGGCCCTGGGCCCGCCGATGGAGGACGGGCTGTTGCGGGCGGGCCCGGCCACGGCGGTCGCCGCCCTGGGCCTCACATCGAGGACTACCTTCGTTGTGCAGCCACTGGCGTGGACCCTCCCCCAGGGCCGGGGGATGTGGCGGCCCCCGATGGTGGGACTGCTCCCGCCTGGTCGGGTGCGCGCGGCCGCCCCCTCCACCGAGGATGGGGTGTCGCTGGTCGGACGGCACACCCTCTCCGCCGGGCAGCCACAAATCCGCGGCACCACCATGTGCACGCTGTCCGGCGGGGGCTTCGGTCCGGAGTGCACCCTGGCAGAGCGGAATTCCCGGCACTTTGATGGCAGCATCTTTCTGGTGCGCTCATCCGACACACTTCGTCAGCAGCAGCAGCAGCCAATGGACCCTTTGCTCTGTGGCCCCTATCGGGAGGGGCGACCGGCGCGCGATGACCTCGCCCTCCTCCCCCTCCCTTTGCATCCTTCTTTTCGGGCCGATGAACTTACCCCTTCGCCTCGGACGCCTCTGATGCCCGACTGTGACCGGTGGCCGGTGCTCTGGGGGGGGGGGCCGGTGTCCAGGCCGGCCATCGGGGGTTTGTGGTTGTCGCGTACCCGGCTGTGCCGGAACCGGCCGAAGCGGCCAAGTCCGCGGTGTATCTAGCCGCCGGGGCTCCCCCGGCCGAGCAGGCCCGCCTGGCAGGCCGGCGCATGGGCGTGCCCGAGGTGCTGTTGGCCGATTTGCCGGGAAACGGCTGGCCCCTGGTAGGCATGGCCGCTGACCCGCACGGCACAGAGCAGTCCCCGATGTGGCTACTGCTGGCCCCTCCGCGGGGCTCTGCCGGCTTGTACATTGACCCGCTGGCTCGTGTGTCCTTCGGCGTGGCGGAGCCCTTCCTCCGGGGACTGGACACTGGCGAAGTGAAGTGTGCGTGTGACCAGGACAGCCAGGGCGTCGGAGGAGGCTGCGAAGGAGGCGAGGCGGCCGAGATAGTGCCCGGTCCACATGTGCCACTTTTGTCCCTTCCATTGTTTCTGCGATCGCTGGTCCCGCTGTTCCAGCTGCTGATGCTGCTGCCCAGGCTTGTGTCTCACGCGACGTCCTTCACGCAACCCCCGAGGCAGATGATGACCGGGTGGCCAGACTCCTGCGAGCGGCGGTCCAGCTGGCCACATTGGACACGGTCATGCGGGCGCTCAACCGCGAGCACAGCGTTCTGGTCGTGCCTCAGAACGCCCTGGCCACGCGGCTGCTTACGGGTGGTGTCTTCCCCGGGCTGGACCCGGAGGCCGATGCCACGGTACATGCACATCCCCCTCCCTGGCAACGCCATGCCCACGAATGGACCGACCATGGCTGACATGGAAACGCGCACGCACGCACGCACGCACGCACGCACGCTCTCATACGCGATTGCCCGCCGACCAGGTGGCCCTGGATCACACCGGCACACTGGACGCCTGGGTGTATGCCATCCGGTCAGGGCACACCGGGCGATCAATCCTGCGGGCTCTGGAGAAGGAGCTCCGCACGCGCTTCACGCAGGAGTACCACCAGATGCTATTCGACTTGTCGGCCGCGGCGGAGGGGCCGGGGCCGGGGCCTGGGCGCTCCGCCTCAAGCCCCCCCGGCGGCGATCTCCTGACTGGCGCCTGGAATAAGCTCATCGGCAATGGGAAGTTCCGCATTGGCGGCATGACCGGGTACGAGCGATGAAGATCGGTGCTTTACTTGGGGGATCTCCCCCATTTGGACCTTTCTGTCGATTGGCCCTCGCCCACTGCTGCTGCTGCTGCTGCTGCTGCTGCTGCTGCTGCTGCTGCTGCCGCTACTTATGCTGTTTTTGTTGCTAACCAGCTGACTACTACGCCAGAGTTCTGCGTCTGCCAAGCGCCGGGAGCGAGCGCGCTGCACGGCGCCCGGCGCGCCCGGCGGCCGATATGTTTTTGACATGGTCGTCCTCTCTCCGGGACATGGCGGTGCGTGTGCCAGTCACAGCGGGGGAGGGCAGGTGCGGGAGGTGGGTGGTTTCTGGGCTCTTTTCGTCTTCTTCCTTAGTCTGCCCTTTGCTCCCGATGGCCGGCGACCTTCGGACCAGGGGATGCCGGCAAGCCAACATGCTGACTGGATGGACCAGAATTTGACGGCATGCATGGCCCGGAGGGAAAGGGAGCAGCTGGACGCGAGCGCCTCGCCCGTGGCGCCGCTCATCCCCTTGACCCTGGAGATGACCCTCTTTCTGGAGCCGCTGGGTGACGAGGTGACCGGGGCCTTGCGGGGCCGGGGCCTGTTGAAGGCCGAGCGCGATCGATGGCGGGCGCACCTGGCCGCCGGGGTGGTGGCCGCACCGGGCACCGGGCAGGGGCTGGCTCTGGCCATGTATGATGCCCTGGGGGTGCTGCTCAATGCCCTTCGTCGAACGCACGACCTTCTGGAGGCTGACGGGCCCGACGGGCTGGCGGCCGGCGACATGACTGATGTGTGCCTCGGCGGCGAGGCCCGGCTGGAGCTGCTGGCAGCCGGCTCCCGCGAGCCGGGCCTCATCGTGCGCATCACGCCGCAACTGCGGGAGGTGCGTGAGCGTGGGGCCGGTGCGTCTGCGATCGGCCCGCTGGCCATGGAGGCCGCGGCCGGGGTCCGCCAGGCCCTGCACCAGCTGGCCTGCATGGGCGTGCCGGTCATCTCGGATGTGGACTCCTCCGGGCGAGTTCCGCCACAGCAGATGGCAGCCGGGGGCGCCACCGACCCGGCCCCATGCGAGTGGTGCCTGGCCAATACGCGGGAGCTCGGGGTGCGCCGGGTGAATGCCCTCCGTCGGTTGGCCTCCGAACGTCCCAGCATGCCGGTGACCAGCTTTGAGGACATCGCTCGAGTGTTGGACCCGGCCCGAGTGGGGGGCTTTACCCGGACGGCGGCGGCCATCGAGCGAGCGGCCGTGGCGTGCCTCGGCGAGCTGGCCCCCGAGTAAGGCCCCGGTGCCGGCGGAATGCCGGACGGACGAGGAAGCCCCGCAGAGGGGGCGCCGCAGGGGGGATTAAAATAGAACGCAAGCAAACAGACCACACGCCACCATCTTGGCGCAGGCCTGGCAAGGGCGGCGGTACTGGGGGCGGGTGTGTGTGTGTGTGTGTGTGTGTGTGGCCGGCCTGAGGTATGGCTGTTTGGTGGGGGGCGTCGGCCCATTTCGCCGAATGCTACCTATCTCTCATTGGCTTGCTTGGTCCCCGTCCGCCGGTTTGAATGGTGATTGCCTGGGCGGATGTGTTTCTGGAAGCGACCGGCCGGCCACGATGGCCCCTGCAATAATGACACAAGCACAAGGCCCAGGGCAAAGCAGGGGGAAGACCATCAGATGGGGGCAAGAGCGGTGGAGGCGAGTCAGGGCAGTGGAGGCGAGTCGGGGCAGTGGAGGCGAGTCGGGGCAGTGGAGGCGTGCAAAAAGACCGGGTCGAAAACAACCCGGCCAAGAGGCACACGACCGGCAAGGCAAACAACAATGTCAGCAGTCGGTACCCGGCGCGGAAGACCCAAGATCCGGGAGCCGAGGCCGGGGGGAGACGCCAGAGACACGGACATGCCGGCGAATGTGCCCCCGGGTGGCTCGGCGTCTCGCACAATGGCGGGTGCCAGCCCAGAGGGCGGGAAGGTGGCCTCGTCGTGCAGAGTACAGATCGGAGGGAGCGGCCAGCCGGAGGGTCCCCTGCCGGGTTTCCGGTGGAAGAGAGAATGGACCGAATCGGGGAGGATCCTCTTTCCAGGAGGAGGAGAAGGAAGAAAAATGACGGAGCCCCCTCCTGAGGAGGGGGCTCTCAGTGAGTCAACCGAACTGGGGATCGAACCCAGGGTCTCTCGCTCCGGAGGCGAGCGCGTTATCCACTTCGCCATTCGGTTGGTGTGGGGAGCTTTCAAAAAGCGGCTTTTAAGCAGGACGGTTTTCTCGAGTGCCGGGCCGACACATGCGGACTGGGCGCTCCGCGAACTTGGTCCATGCAGAGACAAATCTCAGCCCGAAAATGGCGTGAATGACATTGTCTTAATTGTGTCTTGCGGGATATCGCTGCATGCAGTCGCGCCAGTTACATCCGGTGTGTGGGCGTGGTCGCCGTTGGCCAGCCTCCCCGGCAGGAGGATCCACACGCCCCGCCCCCCCCCCCCCCGTCCATAACAACTGGGGGGCCATACGGCGCCTGGTCAGAACGCCCTTGGCGCCGCGCTCCAGGCGTGTCAGGGCATGCGGGAGCGGGAGGGCCGGAGGAAGGGCACACGACGATGGCCGGGGGGGGGGGGGGGCCGCATCGGCGGGGCCGGGCGGGTGTTTTTCAAGGTGCGCTTACACGCACGCCTGTGTCCGTGTGGGTGTCACAACACTGGGGATGCGCCGCCATCGTGTGTGCGTCGGGGTGTGCATGTATTCTCCGCGCGCGCGCGCGCGCGCACGGTCATTTGCTCGGGTTCGCCAGTGGGCGTCAACATCCCCACGACGGGATGCGCACGTGCACGGGGGGGGGGGGGGCAAGTGCGTAGGTGTGCCTCCGGCGCCCGGCGACGGACGATGACGACGGTGACAGTGGCTGGGACCGGGGAGGGGAGGGGGACACCAGCGAACCGCTGCGGCCCATGTGTGCTCCGGGGACCAAACCGTTTGTCGCCGACGGGCGCGAACACGCCGACAAGCGGGATTCCGTGAATCTCCATCCCCGGGAACGTTCGCGCGCCGTAGCATGGGAAGGGCATGTGCGGGCGCCGGCGGGCCCGGGTCCCGACAGGCGGGGGGTGTCCTTCGCGGGCGTGTGTGTTTGTGTGCGGCGCCCCCCAAGGGCCAAGTGGACCGGGCACAGGATCGCCATTGCTCGCGAAGGCGAAAGCCGATGACGCAAAGGCCCGGCAGGGCGCTCGGGCGGGGCGGGGGGTGGGGGATGCCGGCGAGGGATGACCGCCGAGACACTGTTGGCGAGGGCGCACACGGATACGCGAGCGGGGGCGGAGCGGGAGAGGCAGGCCGACAGGCATGCACACCGGGCTGGCGCTCCCGCCCCGGGCGGTGAACAAGAGCAGCTCCGGGGCGGGAGGGCTGTGCTGGGCAACAGGCACGCACCCAGAGCGGCCCGGCATTCGCCGCTCCCCGCCCCCGATGGTGTCGTTGCCCACAGGGGGAGAGCTGGGTCCGAAGAGGAGGAGGATGCTGGCTAATGGGCACCTCGGGGGGGGGGCGAAAGCCGCGGGGAGATGATGCACCAGCCGCCCGGCGATGATGGACCGGTCCGGGAGGTATGCCACGACATGCGCAAGGCCAGACCCGGCTGCCGGCTGTGCGGGAATGGCGGCCCCGGTCCATTGCCCTTGATCCGAGCGTCAGCGGAGGGCGAAGAGGGGCCCCACTTTCGCCCTTGGCTTTCGCCGCCCGGGCGAGAGGGCACCGAATGGGCTGCCGTCGTGCGGCCGGCCGTCTCTCAGGGCAAGGCCAACGCGCCGGGGCCGGCTACCAGCCTAAAGGTGTGCGCTCCCCTCCTCCCCTTCCCCCGAGGCCTCGGAGCGCTGGTGGAGGGCGGGGAGCCAACGAGTAGGCCGGGCCTGCTGTCACCCTGGCCGGCGCTGGGGCCGGCCAGCGGGGGGCCATGCTCTCCCGGGGACGGGGGCCCCGCCGAGCATCGCCCCCCGAAGCGAGACGCAGAGGCAGGGGCAGGTGCGCAAGGCCGTCAGTTCGCAGAGGAGCCCCGCGTGTCCGGCCGTGGGGCGCAGGGGAGGGGGGGGGCTAATGAGTAGGCTTGAACGAGCATATTGTATTTCATTATCGGGCCATGTGGAGGGCGCATGCCCAATGATGGCCCGGGGTGGCGGGGACGGGGGCGCCGGGGGGGGG